TAAACTCCAATGAGGTTGTCTCTTTAAGTTTTCTTTCATCTGGCTTGCTTAGGAAGGGTTACCTTTATAAAAAATATAGTAACAAGCACTTAAGGGGAAAAGAGTTAATTCAAACTTATTTGAAATCACTTAGTGAAGTAACTTCCAAAATTTTACAGTAAAGGGACTTATTATGTACTAAGCTCAGCACTAATCCACTTTGTATCCACCATTGCTCTGATTAAAATTATAATTAGATGCTTGAAATAAATGAGGAGTTTGGTGACCTCTAAGAAAGCTTGTTCCATACTATATTGAAATTTGTTTATTACTACTCTCTCTTAATATACAGTGATAAAAGTTAGTATGGGTAAGCTTTAATATTTTATTCAATAAAGAATGACTTCTGTAACTTCTAAATAATTAAAATAAAAAATTTAAACACTAAATTGCTCAAGAGTAGGAAGTAAAAGTGTTCTGTACTCTACTTAAGCTTCCATTCTGACTTCTAATTCACTGTACATCAAAGAAAATCAACTTGCCCTGACACACTGGACTATTCCCTTCAGTGATCAGGCAGGTGTTGAGGCCAGAAAGAGCATATTTTCCACAGCCCTTTACCTTGTTTGATCACTGGTTACTTTTGATCTGACACTGCCCTCTCTCTAGTAATGACTTCCCCCTCATAGACCCTACCTCACATCTGTCAAAAAGAATAAAAGGGATCAAACTGAGACCTGACAACGCCTATGGGCCATGCAATGGGCTGCCAACTGAATGTTCCCCAGCTCCCACAATTTCCAATTCAGTTTCTTTTGTTCTGGTAGGTACAGAGTTAGGGTACCAATGACAGCAGAAAGGATTATGCATCAACTGTGAAACCAAGCCTTCTTGAATGTGTACCTTTTATCTTTGCTTCTTCATCTTCTTAAATGCTGCAATCTTCATGGTGGTTACTATGAAATACATATTCAACAAGTGCAATAGAAGGTTTGTTTAAATCCTTTTCCAGAAGAAAACAAAGGACACAATGTATTGAAGCTTTAAGGAAAAAGTTTCAAACCCATGGTGTGAGATTAGTAAAGGGCAGCTGTCAAAGAGCATGTTAATAGTAAATGAAACTGCAAAAGTTTTATGGGGACCGCTCTTCAGCGGGTATTGCCATACACTAAAGTGGAAAGGTCCCCTAAAACGATGCTCATATTCACAGGAGGCAATTATTTAAACTGTCAAATTACAGAGTCTTACACTAATTTAGTGTGAGAATAAGTTAGTACTGAAAATAAGATCTTCTAGTCTTCATATAACGTGGTGAGTATATCTAACCTTTTTTTGAAAAAGGCATTAATAACAATTTTTAAATGATAGCAAGTAGAGAAAGCTGGTCAAATATCATTTTGGCACCGTTTTACTCATAATTTTTCAACTGTCATTAAAATATTGCATGAGTTCTTGAATATTCATCTGATAATAACTCTCCCCCAAACACACACACACAATGACTAATGGTTCACTATCAGGCATGCAATTAAGGGATTTGCAGGAAGCTGGTTTAATGGACTTCTAAGATCACTTTCAAGGTCAAGTCTATCATTGTTTTAAGAAATAGGACTTTTCTTAACTTTTTAAAAGTAGAGGCAAAAGTAGGAAGACCATGACCAATAAGATAAGTATTCAAATTTAATGCACCTTTAATACTATAATGCTAAAAATGAATAAGTAATTAACTTTAGACATGTACAAACACAGAATCTCAAAGGTGTTAAGCATTAAGGTGATACATGTTGATTCTAATAAGTGGAGAAGTTTCAACAACAGCTGTAAAAAGGTATGTCTTGATGGAAAGAGGAAAGGCACAAATGTCTAAAGAATTAACCTGGACACTGGACAAATGCATACACTAGACTGAAAAGATTTACCACTGTGTGAAAGACTGTACATGAATATCTCCTTCTTCTTATACATACCAGCAATCAGCATAATTACACTCTTCTAAAGGAAAACTATTCTTCATTCTATAATCTAAAAATACCATCCAACAGAGTATATTTTAAAAAATGTGATTGTTTTCAATAGACTTTAATATAGAAAAAGATAATTTCTACATACTTGGACTTTATGGGAAGAAAACCAACCAGGTATACTAGGGAAAAAATTACTTGCATATTGAAAAAACACAAATTAATTCAAGGTTAAACAATACACTTGGCTGAACCAATGCTTGCCCACTTTTTCCAAATGCTACTTAATCTTCTAAAAAAATTAAGGAAAAAGCTATTTATCTATGCTTCTTTTTGGGTATTGTTTCAAAAATTGTTTCCACAATTTTTGATTCTACAAGACTATCATAACATATTAAAGAATAAAAGGATAATAAAATGGAACTAATTTATTAAATTAAAAACTAAGAATTTTATGTAAAGTATTTTTAAAAACACTTGTCAGTATAATTTTTGCACGTGATAATACTCTCAAAGCATGCAATTTCAATATTCTAACTAAATTTTATGCCAGACCTGCTTGGTGCATTTTGTTGGTACTAAGCAACCAAGATATGTATCAAATCTTATATTTAACTATCTCTTTCTAAACTGCAACAACAAATCAAACTCTTCTAAACAAAGTCAACCATAGAAGCAACTTGTTAACTTTCATCTTTTCAATAAATCAAGTGAGTCAAGTATGACAAAAGGAAAAAGACCACAGTTCCTAGTAAGCACTCCTGAGACATTTTTGTTGGGGTTGTCTGAAAGCAGAAAAAAAGGAATATGCATTGGTGGAAGCACTCGCACAAATCAAATATCTTCAATGGGCTATAAACCAAAAATTGAATACACATAACACATGATGTGCAAAAAAAAAATTTCAAGCCACAAGTTTCAACATTCACTTTTAAGAAATCACTTCCTAAAAACTATGTAATTCTTGAGGAGGAGAGACATATTTGGGATTTTACTTCCTCAAATTATCTTTGCCACTCTTCTGGTATGAACATTAATGAAGAAACACTTGACACTGCTATTAAATGAAGCACACTCCACGAATTCGGTTATTAACAAGATTGAAATCTCATGGCCTAAAAGCGATATTGTATGTATATGTCAAAGTATAAGTAATTACATTAATGTCACTAGCATGTATCTCACTAAAAATGTTAATTTTTAATAGGTTTCTTCCTATTAAAGAATTTTTCCAGGGCCAAACCAAAAGGACCTAAGTATAGGATGGTTCATCTTCATTAGCCAGTCCTTTTCAGAAACTTTAAAATTTCTGTTATAAAAATTAAGTTTTAAGAACTCCTAACAACTAACCATTTAGTAAAAACAATGACAAATACACATTCAGTTACTACATATAGGTTTTTTTAAAAAGACATCAACATCTCCAATTTCAAGAAGCTTACATGACTAAATTGAAGCCTTGAAATCTGTAATAAATTATCAATGAGTTAATAAGAAATAATAAAATGTAGGAAACTGATAGAACATGAGGAAGTAATAAATGGGGCTAGAATTCTTAATGTTCAACACAAAAGTACGTAGTTGAGCTTGAAGGTAATGAATACATATTGGAAGAAAACAAAATGATAAGAGAAAATGAAGAGCACATGTACAAATTAAGAATGAAATGAGAATAGAGGCTAATAATTAAAGAAATCTTTGAAGTTAGCCACTGCAGATTTCTGAAGTGATTAAAAGAGTAGTTTAGCAAGAGGATTCCTGCAAGAACATTTCTCAACTGTGGATGGGATAAAAAGTCAACTTTGGAAACCCTTTAGGTCATGATCGAATTCAGAGGAATATACAATATATTTTTATTTTCTACATTATTGTCCATGAACTTCTTCACTCATAAGCCTAAAACAATGGTAATTTATGAAGTATATAATAGATTACATAACAGAACTACCGATAATCATATATGATATATAATACTTATTAATATATCAATGGAAAAGGGAAATATACATGTGTATATATAAAATTGTGTACTGCAACAACTTAAAATACATTAAATATCAAACTACTTAAAAATTATTTTCAAATATATAAAGTTAACATTAACCTAGCCAAAAGACATCAAAATATATTTTGATTCCCCAGAGTATCTACAAAATCACAGCTCACCTAATTCTACTATGTTCTCAAGAGTCAAACTGAAAAGCTAGCATAACATAATGCAAATGATTTTATAATCTATTGGCATCTGCATGAGCATTTAAAAATAATAACTATAAATTTGTATCTTCCTTTTTATTTCACTGAAGACATATTAAATAATAATATTGAATGTCAACTGTAATGGAAAATTTTTAAATTTTATGAAGATATATTCAATAAAAATAATCATCTAAGCATAGTTTAATTAGAAGGATTCTGATTGATAACTATTTTTCTTTGGATTACAAATTTTTAGTGTATTCATTTATATATATTAAAAATCATATTAATTATCATTAAAAAGAATGATAAACACCTATATGTATGCTTATGTCAAAAACAGTCAATGAAAACCTGGTAATAGACACTACACATTTTTTATCCCCAAGAATGCTCCTGAAGTAGCCCACTTTTATCATATTTATCAGATTTTAGAAACCAAAATAGTGAAGTGTGACACCCACTAAAGAAAAAGACTACATTGATCTTGTCTGTAATCTAATGTGGCTACATAAAAAAAGATGTGATAGAAGGGTTTAAAAACAAGCAAATATCAAAGTAGAACAAACTTCATCTTTCATCCGGCTTTTCAACTTCTCAGCTACTAGAAACAGAAGGTGCAAGCCAAGGAAAAGAATTTACCCCAACACTCTCATGAGTATTCATCTTTCCACTTACTGCCCAGGAGGTAACTTTATGTCAGATCTTTAACAGGAACTTCAAGGAAAACAAAATGGAGACAACTGTCTTGAACAACAATAAAAAAAAAAAATAAAAGAACTTCAAGGGACATAGAAAAGGAAGCCAACCTAAGTAATACAAATAAGCAAAATCTGCAGCAGGAATAGGGACAGTACTCACCAAACAGGTTGCCTGGATAGGAGCATAAACTGAAGAGAGGATCACCTGATGAAAGCCCAAGTGGCATAGATAATGTATCTTTATCTGTGATAAATATAACGATAATGTATCTTTTTTATAATTAACTACAAGAAAATGCTAGTAAAAAGCATCCTATCACCTGAAAGCCAGATTCAACCACAGTTTGTAAATGGTATATAGAAAGGCAAATCTTAAAAACAAAACAAAGCAAAACAACTAATCCTTCTTTTAAGTCTACCCACTAAAATGATAAATGATATTAAGTCTTGGATGTCCCAAAACCCTAGCAACCCATTACTATAAAAAATATACATATATATAAGCCAAAACTTCTCCCTAGATCCAAACAATGCATCTTACTTAGTGAATGACAGTCGAAAAGCTGAAGAATATGTGCTCATAAATGACAGACTTAATGTACTCCCAGCATCCCACTGCCATCTAACCTTATACAATTTCTATCTGCTAAGTCTAATGACTCGGCTCTTTATCTCAACCAACCATCCCGTTGCCAACACTGGAGCACAAAGCCAGAGACAACGCTTTCAGTTATATCTGAGAGATAAATTGATTTGCTTCCCAACCTCTGATTTTTTAACATGCTGTCACAAAAGAAATTAAACAAAATTACATTTTTAAAAAAGGTCTAAACTATAGAATATATAAATTGAAAATAACACCAGCAAAAAATAATCCCAATACTAGGAATAACCTAATCAATAGATATAAATGGTAAAATCAAAAAAATTTGGATATTTTTAATAACCCATAATTTGATTCAGAAAAAAAATTAAAACTATGTTCATACTATTTGGCGTCTCCTATTTTTTTTGGCAGTTTTATAACTTTATTCGACAATGAGCAGCTAGTTCTCATCCACATTAAGTTTGTAGATTTTTGAAAGTGGTGACAGGTATGCAGGTGACCAACGTATACAGTTTGTTTGGTGAATCTTCATCCTCATTACATTTTAAAACAGAAGTCTCCTATTTTTAACCACAATAAATTACTCATTGTTAACACTGGGTTATCTGTATAAGAAGAGCTTTTAACACTACTCTAGTTTCTTCCTGAAATTCTGTTAGCATTTGAGCATCTTCTATTATCACCTGATGGATCCCCAAAGTTTGTGAACTACTTGTATTATTACTAAATTAACATACTTAGGCAGGTGAATATGCTGGGTTAACAATTAACACAGTCCAAAGAAAAATTATTTGGATGACCCAAGTGACTGCTTGACCTCCATACCATACGGGCACAAAGGGGAAGAAAACACACACTTACATTCACTCTTTATGGTTTTCTATGATTTTCAAATGATAAAATACAATTCATGTATGTTTTTAAAAAACCAGGATACCTGGTAAGTAAAAAAGATACCCATAGGAGAAAGATATCAATAGATTAAAAAGAGAGTGAGAGATCAAGCTCTCGAGCCAAGAATATAAATGAGTGACATATTTATTCCTCAAACTGAAAAATCTGCCAAATAACATTTTAACATTTTTCAATATATTTGCATGCCAAATAACTTTTGTCTTTAAAGTAGGTCTTTCAAAAATTGCTTCAATAAAATAAAACCAATTTTATTAATGATAAGAAAGTCAATGTAATTCTGACAAGAATAAAAATTATATTCTAGTTTATTAGAACAGGATATTGCTAAAAACAAGTGCCCTAAGAAATACTCCTTGAGTATGTTAATGACTGTGGCTCGATAAATTAAATGGCATCATTCATCCAGTAACTAGATCAAACTAGAAAAGTCAGAAAAACTGACTCTGCACCCTTCAGCTATTTTTCAGGTTTTTATTTATATACTCAAATTCATGTTGATTTCAAAGCCATTCCCAAAATAGTTGAAGAAGTGTATTTTAAAAAGCATGTTCAGTTCATCAGTAACCAATCTGTCACTAAACTAACATTTACTAAATATCATATGCCAACATGAGAGAGGGACAGGATAAAGAGACAACTAGGTCCCTTTTCTGCCCTCAAAAGAGTTGACAATCTATCAGAAAGATATACCTGTGAATCATGGTCTCAATTACTCATGGAGAACAATTTGTCATGATTTCGTAAAAATTTGAAAATATAAATATCTTAGCTCCTTATTCATTACATTTTTAGGTATTAGAAATAAGCACAAGAGACTTGCACAAGAGTTTTATTGCAACACTGCCTATGAAGGTAGAATACCAGAAGCAATCCAAGTATCCTTCCATAGAAATTTAAGAAGCAGAGCATATATGCATATATAGGACACTAACAGTTAAAAAAGAATGAATTACACATTTGTTATGTCTGGATCTCATAAACAGCTTAAAAAAATGCAAACTACATATTGATATATACTGTGGTGAGACCAGATATTTAGCCAGATAACATCAGATATAAACTACATGTGACTATAAATTAAATAATACTATATTGTTGTTCATGGTATCATTTATGTTAAGGGTTTTTTTAATGTTTAAAGCATTTTGGAGCATCATAGTAGTTGCTCTAAAGGATATAGTGAGATGGCATTGGATGCAAAACAATAGAGATTTATTTACACACATTTTATTTGCTTTATTAATTCAAGAAAAAGAAACAAATTAACAAAATGTGAAAAATTGGGACAACTGTAATAGCATAAACAATAAAATATTTAAATTAAAAAATAAGTAAATATCAATGTCTGGGTAATGGGCACATAGATTTTACTATTCTTTTTAGTATTCCCTATTTTCCTAATTCCTCAAATTTTTAAAAATAACTTAAAAACCCCAAAATATGATCATGTTTCACATTTGGTGAAATCCCATGCTATAATCACCATTACCTAGAGTCAAGCACTTAACAATCTGGTCCCTACCTTCCTTTACAGACACAAATATGAACATTTCCCCTACCCACCCTGTCTGTAAAGCTAATCAATCTCACTGTAGTACCCACCACTTTTTAAACATCCCACACATTTTCCTGGTGCCTGTCTTTGTTAGTGCTGTTTCTCCCAATTATAATCACTTTCCCTGACCAAAAAAATGTTTGCTTGCTTCACAATTACCGTATTATTATATATCAATCAAGATCCAGTTCAAATATCATCTATGATTTATAGGAATTCCTGATTCCTCTTTTATCTCTCACACCAGTAACTATTTTTATAATTGACACTTCCATAGCACATAAGCCTAGACCAAAATCTCTTCTCTTTAGCAATATAACTTTTTTTTAATTCCTCAACACCTCTCATATGTGCCTGGCACATAGCAGGTATTCAAATGTTAACCAAATTGAATGAACATTTGCAACAGTGGTGAGGAACAGGGTAGAAAGTTACCAGTTCAGCCCTGGCCAGTGTGACTCAGTTGGCTGAGTGTCATCCTGCAAACCAAAAGGTCACGGGTTCAATCCCTCGTCAGGGCACATACTTGGGTTGCAGACTCTGTGCTCTGCCCTCATCAGGGCACTTGCAGAAGGCAAAAGGCAACCCATTGATGTTTCTCCCTCACATCAATGTTTCTCTCCCTCCCTTCCCCTCTCTTAAAATAAAAGCTTTTTTTTAAAAAAGAAAATTATCTAATTCATTAATCCATTAAAATTTCTGTTAAATGTGCTAGACAAAAATGAAATGTTAATAGCATCTGAATCAAAATTTCACAAAAATATAAAATAGTATAATTTTGTAAAGGAAAATTGTTACATAAAGAGTGAAATTATGTTAAAGTTAATTATGTTCATATCTGTACATGATTAAGATCAACATTAAAAACTATCTTGAAGACTGCTTTCTTATTTGATAATTTAACTAATTTTCCCAGAAAAGATTCTAATGTATCTCCATTGGTACTTACAACTTGCCCTGAAATCAGTTATCATCCTAGGAAAAAGATCTTTTGCTCATGCTAATAGTTAAATTCCTTTTTAAAAAACAGATGAAACAGAGCTTCTCTGTTTATTTTTTTAGATAGAGAGGAAGGGAGGAAGAGAGGGAGAGAAACATTAATGTGTGGTTGCCTCTCACAAGCCCCCTACTGGGGACCTAGCCCACAACGCAGGCATGTCCTGATTTGGGAATCAAACCAGCAACCCTTCGGCTTACAGGTAGGTGCTCAATCCACTGAGCCACACCAGCCAAGGCTAACTTCCTCCTTTGATGTCTCACATGACCCATCTGGGTGTTAAAGGGAAATAATGTCTTTTGGAAATTACTGCTCGGTTCAAAGACATGTGGATTTGCCCCATCTGTAATGTATCCATGCAATGGAAGGAGCTTGGAGACAAAGGTTTAGGAATCTAACACATCTGGGTTAGAATCTTGACTTTGACACAGATTTGTTGTTACTTAACCTTGCTAGGCCTCAATATACTCATCTGTACAATGGAATAAAAATAAGCTTCCAATGTATGTGGAAGTTTGAGGATTAATTATGTAAAATTGCACAGTGCCTGGTACATTGTAAATACTCAATAAAAGATAAGTAGTATTAAATATGTTTAAAAATCAGTAAGTGACAGCAAAACCCTGAAACAATACAACAATAAAATACAACAATAAAATGAAGTTCAGTATGTTTAGGTCCCCTTCTTTAGAATGCCACATTCATGCATCACTGTTTACTGAAAACTACCACTCTGTGAGCAGGTAAATGCCTCATCCATTAAGAGGGGGAAAGGCAATGAAGGCAAATACCTACCCTGGGAGATTTTGGAGGCTGAAGTGAAAATGGACTCCCTCACAAATGTACATTATTTATGTCAGAGATTACAAGTAAACTCTCTTCACAAGGACTTCTTAAGAAATAAACTATCAGGAGTGCAGTGGGAGAACTGAGGGGAGTGAGGGTCAAATCCTTTAATATGTGAACTCTAAGTGGAAAGGTAAATGAATGAAGAAACATAGGCCTTCTTATGGTGCTGAATTAACTACTGCTACTTAAGTTCAAATGCAAATGTTTACCTTAGCTGATGATGACATGACCACCAATCTACTTACTTGGCTGTTACAACAGCCTCAAATCACAGCAAGCAGCAAGAATAAATTAAACTGTAGGTAGCTAATACGTGAAACG